TGTATGTATTTATATATATATATACATACATACATACATACATACATACATACACACATACATACATACATACATACATGCATACAAACATACATACATACATTCATACATACATACATACATATATATCTATATCTATATCTATATCTATATCTATATCTACATATATTTATAAATATATATATCAATAATTGCTCTATATCTTGAATAACCTTTTAGGATAGCTGTGTCGCGCATATCCAACCGCACCGTGCTGACTCGAAATTCAAAATAATTGCCCTTTGACTTGACGTCGCACTCGGTAATTGCTATCACCTTTCCACCCCCATTTTACCCCCTTTAGGTTGGTATCAATATTGCAAGTTTCTAATTGGACTCCCGAGTGTTGTAACATCGGACAGAGTGTTGCTTATGATCGTCCTATAACTCTACCACACTAGGGTACCATTAACGCCTTGCACGTTTACTTCAACTCTAAAACTTTGTTGTCAATTTTCCATCTCAATAGACCATCTTCAGGTCATCATCAGTTTTGCAAGTGTTAGCAGGACACCGGATTGATATAGCATTTGATTGGTTGTTGGTCACAGTTGTGCCGTATGCACTACTAGCTAAGGTTACAATAACGTCTTCGATGTTTAATCTATCCCTCAAAACCGCTATCAACTTTATCATTTAATCGACTTTAGGTTGGCATCAGTGCCGCAAGTATCTACGGGACACTGGACTGTTATAACATCAGATAGTGTTGATCGCAGGTGAACACAGATCCACACTCAAGCGACGCGAAACGTCTTCGAAGAAGCGAGTTGCTGTAGTTAGAATCGGAGCGAGGGTCATTTACACCACCACAGCACACAACGCAAAACAACTTCAGTACACCATGATGTAGTACGGCATCTGATGGATTGTATCGTTGTAAACTACGCGCCGCACGCCGCCATACAAGGGGAATGATATGCAAGAATCCGTAGCATCAGCACAGTTACGATCGCTCCGTAATGAGCGCGGGGGGAGGGGGGGGGTGCAAGTGCGTTTGTATGTATATATACGTATGCGTATGCACATGCCTATATGCATGTCCGCATGGACGTATGTGTATATACATACGTATACGAAATGTATGCCTATCTAAGATACCAGTGTAAATGTTACTGCCGAAGCGTGCAGCACCCCAAAATCACCAGCAAATCCTCGGAGATCCCATTTACCATCAATCAACAGTAGATGATAGCGTGATACTCCCACGCAGCACAACACAACACCGACAAGAGTCAGGAGCAGAAATAGACCAGTGTAACTTCCTATTGGTGGCGCCTGCCGCTCGTACTTACGCCCAGCACCCAATCGATCTATCAACCACGAAGCATGACACAGCACAATACTACAGGTATCGGTGTGCCGTCTGCGAGTTCGAGTTTAATCCAAGCAGCCCCTGAGCCAATCACTACCAGCTGTCACGTGACATGCAGCGGTCAAGGCCGGTATACTCGAGCCTGCGTCATGCTCGTCAGGTGCGTGAAACTTACGGTCTGATCTTGTGTGGGCTTCTATTATGCATAGTATGTTGGAGGTATCTGTTTAGCCCATCAACTGTCCGGCAAGTTACTGTAAAAACCACACCAGCGCGCGATAAAGTCTTCGTCACTCTCGGTTTCTGTGTTGGGTGGCGTGCCAACTTGTTGTTGCAGATCCCCCTCTTTCCCCGAAACCCTTGAATTCAATTGGTATGGGGTTGGATACAAAATTTTAATAATGAGTCATTGGCCGGTATGCCAATTGAGGGACTCTGGAACTTGCTACACTGTGAGGAATTAGCTACTCGCAGAGCAAGAGTTCCGAACTTTGAATCCGCTGCGTCTGTGTAGTCGTTCGTAGCACCACAGCCCAAGCGTCATAACCTTGCCAAGTGCTCAATGCTGTCCTTTCACGAGAGTACATTATGACATTGGCAACTCTCGATTAAGCGCATGACTCAGCCCAGATAGTCACCACGATGCCTATTTAGCAGTGTGGTTAGAAGCCAATAGGTTGGGTGTCTCGCTTCTACACTACACTACTGAGAGCAAAAGAACTGCACATGGAGGTGTAGGGTTGTATTCCTTCGCGATTGGCGTGAAGTACTCCTGACCTTATTGACCATAGGGATGATTAGACTGGCTTGTATCGTCCATACCTTATGCGGGCAAAGACTCGCGGGACAAGTTTGGTGGAAATACGCTTCAGAAGCGACCGTAAATACGCTTGTAATTATGAGGCTATAAACTAAGTAAGTTTTAACAAATTTACTACGTGCGTATTAGTATGAAGTCTATAAACTCAATTTGTTTTCCAAATCTACTACGCGCAATCTATATTTGATCAGATGCGTGGCTCAAAATACATCGATTAGTATATGAAACCAAGCAGGCATGCGAAAACCCCATAGCCTGCGAATTAAATCCCGTCAAAGTGAGAACCAGCTCGGGAAGCCATACGGTATGGACATCGTCACAACTCTTGGTGTACTGGGCAGTACATTCTGATCTGAAAGGCTCGCGACGGTTCACACGTCAGTGACCGTGTGACAACTGAACTGTGTGTTTTTTTAACTAGCACAGCGGTTTACGCGCTTGTCATGCATCACGTGATAGCTGCTACGGCTTTCGTATATCACAATTTGCAAATACATATACAGAGACATACAGATATAGATATCGTATACCTATGGAAGAAATGTGTATACATATCTATATATTCTTCAATATGCATATACAAGTACATGTAAGAAACATCCGAGTACGATGGAAGTAAAACCATTTACACCTGGCATGCTCGTAGGATGGGCGTGTAGATAATGAATTGAGCAGTTTGGTGCGTGCTTGGGATAGCACAGACAGACGCACATCAGATACTTTCTTGGAGTAGGCCTTGATAGAAACCTTCTCTAGAGGCTCTGTTGTAGAGAAAGAGGAAAACCGAACAGGCTCATGTGAGAAGCGCAAACGGGCTAGGACCACTGAGTGTAGCGCTACTTGTGCTTGAGTGATGATACCTTATATAGAGTACATACACAATTTACAGATAAATATTTATGAATATAATATA